AATAATGCCACATGTGATACATCCATTTAATTTCTCAATTTCCCAGCCGGATCCCTTTGCCACCTTTTTTTTTTCCTTTGCCACCTTAAAATCTAATTCATTTTACTTGCTTTAACACTATAAAAACTCGGCAAGAAATGTATAAAAATGGATCTGCAAAAAAGCCAGGTAAATTCCAGCCAGTAACTGGTCAATAAGTACCAGCCTCCAAAACTGGGAGTGATAATCTTGACTCATGTAGAGAAGGATCAAATATCAGGATGTGGAGGGAAAAAGTATTCGTGGTGAAATAGAGCAAGAATGTGGAGAAGAACTGGGTTCTGATCTGCACTCCCCACTCTGAGAATGGATTCCCCCCTCTCCTGGGCCTCAATTTCCACACCTACACAACAACGCAGGCAGACTAGATGACTTCTGGAGCTCCGATACATCTTGATCATTTAGCAAACACGTTCTGACCGTCTTCCAAGGGCCAAGCTATGTGCTGGAAGAGGATGCAGTTCCTCCTTCAAGACATTTCTGGAAGGGGAGGCCACGATGCACTCATTGGCCACAGGAACTCAGGCGGGTATAGGGTACCTCCTTTCCCCACTGCACTGGGCAGGAGGACAGTGGTTCTCTGAGAAGCAAGACTCTTACCTCAGTCTTCCTGGGAGCTTGGATACATAGATGGGATGCAGAGAGTCAGATAACATACAAAATACAGAACCCACTGCAAACACCATCATGAGCGATTAGCTGTCACAGGACACACTGTGGGCCGCCAGTTTACCTCGGGGTGTTTTTCAGTGATGGGATCCCTATGCTATCTCTGTGTAAGAGTCGACTGTGGACAAGGTACAATTAGCAAGCTAGACGGTTATCTCTGAAATGGGTCTTTGCGTTTTCATTCCTGATTCCATTGTTTGTTATCATGTCACTGGCGCCAACAGATTAAAGACTGAATATCCTCAGAGTATAAACACGTCCCTAAGTAGCAGTGGCTTCATCACAACCTAGGTACGGGGAGGCCTGTTTTACTACTGTTTGCACCTTTGCAATACATGCTTCCAAACAAACTCACAGAACCCCAGGAAGTTAAAGTTGGAAACACCCTAACAAAGGATCTATTCCCTATGTTGCAAATAAATTTCAATGCCATTAACTCCACTTGAGTAGCAACCAAGTCTGGGCTTAGTGGGAAAGAAACTGATGAGCAATGTCTGCCTGGCCAGGGGAGGGGAGCACCATTACGATACACATTTACCTTTCCTCTCCTGAATATAAACCTTCACTTCACAGTTCAAAGATCCAAGGCCCAAAGAGGTTAAACCCCTTTCCTAAGGTCCCACAGGGAGTTTAGGGGCAGGAGAGAGAACTAGAACCCTAGCCTCTGTTCCCAGGCCTTCCTCATCTGGGGCTCCTGAGGAGACTACACACCTAGGATGACGGGGAATGCCGAGAGCCAGATTTGCTCAGGTAAACCAACAACCCAGCCCCGGTGGCATCAGATTTCAGCTGGGCCTGCAGACAGACAAGAGATTAGCAGGGTAATGAGTCCCAGCCCCTCTGTGGAAAATTAAAGAAATCATTCCAAGGCTACATTTCTATGGTACTTAACTTTCTGATGGGTAAGGCTCTGCCACCAGGAAGACTAAAAAGGGGTGGGGTGAGGGGGGAGGTATTGATTTCTGGATGTTCTAAGAATAAAGTTCAGCTCTGACACAATGAGAAAAACTCTTGATACTTGAAAATTAAAGTCACTGGTATTCTATTATCCTACCAATTTCTATTCCACAGTCGCTATTATCCAGTGAAGTCATTTCTCACAAGAGATTATGGCTCTGAAATGGGGAGGGATTGCATCACGTTTCCTAACATGGGTTTTGACAGCTAGTCCCCAGGTCTGGAATAGGAAACAGACTGCAGGATTAGATCAAGATATTAAACAGACTGGGGCTAGGAATGAGAGGGACCCCTAAATTAAAATGAAGGTGGCTCTAATTGAATTTAAATTTAAATTTAAATAAATAAATAAAAATTTTAAAAATGAGGATGGCTTCAGGACTGGCTTTTCTTGCTCAGTCTCACAACTGTTGGAGAAGCCAGCTGTCTGACCAGATGAATATTGAAATCCTAAAAGCATTATGTGTCGTTTATAAATCAGCTGCCCTACCCAGCTCCAGAGGTATACCTAGGATGAGCTGGCATGACAGTTCTATAGATTTACTTTCTAGCAGATGATAAATGCTCTTAACTTGAAACTCTATTCTTCAGTCCAGTGGATAAGTTAAGGAGTTAAAGGACTGCTCTAACAGTGGGTATGTTAACCCTGGAACCCATGAGGAATCTATTTTGCATTTGGATAAAGTCCTTTCAGACTTCCCTCCAGAGCCTCTGCAGTTATTTCTACCAGAAAGATCAACGAGGTGTCCTGGGATAATTCTCAACAATTACAAGAGTGACAAGCTGAGCTCCGAACTGGTCAGCCCTGTCGAAAGAAGCCCTGCGTGCTCAAGAGGCCAGATTTCCCAGATAGCAGGCTGACTGACAGGTTCCGCGCACGTTCCAGCGCCCTGGGATGAGGAACAGAACACCATGGCTCTGAGAAGTCAGCCTCCTCCCTCAAGGCCAGCTGACATTCAGACAAGGGACTGGGGGCCAAGCCCAGGGCTATGCATCTGCAGGAGAGTGACACAAAAAGTGGCTGTGTGGAAATTTGGCAGAGTATTCCTGAAAGGCAGCAGATGAATGCTGAATCCTACAGCATCTAGCAGAGCTTATCATCGGGGAAACAGCTCCCTTCTGCTACTCCCAGAAAGCAAAGGGAGTTTCTTTAAAGCAAGGATAATCCATCAGTACCCCCTGTACCCACCACCACACCCCTTCATGTCTTCCTCCTCCTCCTCATGATATTCCAGAGCAAAAGTAATGAACAAGAACCAGACCTTCCCAAAGGAGCCTGTCTGTCCTTTCCAGTTAAGGGCTCTGAGCAGTGCCCAGTTGTTGCTCCCCTCTCTCTTCGCCCAAAAGGCTGCCTTACTCCATCAATTCCCTTTTGCACAAGTGAGTAATTTACTTTGAAAGCTCAGGCCAAACTGGCAGTTAACCTTGACCTTCTCTCTACACATCTGGGTCTATAGAAAATGAAAATCAGGACGTCTCTGGCATCCACGGCAAATGAAATACAAGGGCTTTCTTCAGGCAGAGGCAGAATGTCAGGAACTATTTTAGAACTGGCTACAGCTATTCTAAAGGAGAGTTAGTGCTCAGGCAGGACACTCCCCACCTTGACGTGGGGCTGTGTCCAGCACGGAGCCCCCACAGCTAGGGATGCTACAAGGGACCCCAGCCCTCAGGAAAGAAAGAAGTGGCCATTGTACTTCTCACTGATTCACTGATGGTATCATAATGCTGGACCCGGACCAATAACCACATTTTATGGATGGAGAAAGGGAGGCTCAGAGAGGGAGATAAGAGGTGATCAAGGACACACACAGCAAGTTAACAGTAGTGCTGAGGACAGAACCCTGGCCTCCTGCCCCTGCTACTGACACAGGGTGAGAACAGAAGAAAAATTTCATGAAGGAAAAACTCATACAGATACAGAATTTACAGGAAAGAGGTCTAATATGGCTGTCAGGGTTTGAACCAGGGGTTTAGTGAAGGCATTGAGGGAGCTTAATTTCCAAACAATAAGATCTACCAAAAAGATCACCGAGGCCCTCCAGGACAGTTTGCAACAATTACCAGTGACAGGCTGTACTCATATTGGGTCATCCCTGTGGCAAGCAGCCCTCCATGCTCAAGATGCCAGACTGCCCAGGCAGCAGCCTGATACCAGGAAGAGAGAGAAAAACATCAACCTCAAAAGTCAGCTTCTTCCCTCATCCTGCCAACAATCAGTTAAGTTTGACCCCGAGAGACAAATTATCCACTTCCCATGGGGCCAGGGAAATCCTATAAGAAAACCTGAAATGTCCCACTGTGTGAAACAGTTCAAGCATGTATACACTCACTCGCACCTACTGAGCCAGGAGCTGGGAAGGCAGGAGTGCTCTGACAGAGCTTCTGCTATCAGTCTATATGTACGTGTGACACAACACACACACACACACACACACACGTGGGTGAGTTCAGAAGACGCAGGAACAATTAAGATCCTAGTCTTGGCTGCAAGAAACAATACATCTAATCAAACTGGACAAGTTCAAAAGGGATCATGGGTACTCTACGAAGGGACAGGGAAGGCACCTGATGTTCCATCCTCAGGGCACACTGTGCACAAATAGCCTTTGGGAAATTTTGGTGGGTCCCTCCACCAGAACTCACACTTTGACCCCAGAAGGTCAAAGGCAGGAGGTCCCTCAAGAACCAGGAGCTTCCTCCCTCCCCCAGGACCTGAAGCTCCCAGGGGAGCATGATCTTTGCATCCTCCAAGGAACCCACAGATCTGGGAAAGAGGGAGGGTGAGCAAATGGGGAGAGGAGGGGGGAGGGTAAGCAAATGGGGAGAGGAGGGAGGCCTGGTGTCCCACTGGGCAGATGAGAAAACAGGAAAGGGGCTGACCTAAGTAGGGTACACTGGGATCAGCAGGTGGGGGTGAAAGCAGAAAAGACCTGGCCACTAAATAAAAGGCCCGCCAGCTCCTGAAGAAGGAATCACCCTGGGATATAGGAATGCAGACTGGACCCTCCAAAAGCACGAGATGCTGGGAGGTAGGGGGATACCAGACATGGACAGAAAGGATGGTAATCTAAGGTAAGAAACAGATCTTCCAGACTGAGCAACAGGAGTCTGTTTCTTGTTCTGATTCGGCCTCTGGCTGACGTGGCGGTCCTGGACAAGTTCCTGTCCTTCTCTGAGCCTCAATGTTCCCAATCCCCAAAATGGGAAGAACCGAAGGGTCTCCGGCTCTGACACTGAGGAGGCAGAAACGGAAAGGTGGAGGAAGAAACCGAAGGTTCCAAGTGAATACGGGGAGAGAGTGTTCCCACCCCCACAGCAACTGGGGGACTCACCAGTCCGGCCGCCGGGACCACCGCCGCCCCCGATCCCCCGGGGGTGCCGTCGGGCTGCCGCTCGCGGTACAGCGCCCAGAGCCCCACGTTGGGCAGAAGGACCAGGGCCGCCAGCACCAGCGCCACCGCCTGAAGAAGCCGCTTCTCCTTCCGCCTCATCGGGGCCGGTCAGCCCCGCCGCGCCCCGCCGCGCCCCGCCGGCCCCGCCGCGCGGCCCCCGGCTCCGCGCGTCCGCCCGTCCGCCCGGCGGCGGCAGCAGCTCAGCGAGGAGAAGCTGCCGCGGCGCCGGCCCCGCTCCAACTCCGCGGCACTTCCGCCGCTCGCCGGCCGGGGAGCCGGCCTCTGCCACCGCGCCGCCGCCACGGGGGAGGCTGTCGCCGCCGCCGCCGCCTCTGAGCCGGCCGAGCCGCGGCGCCCCGCGCCGCCCTCCTCCGGCTCGGCGGCCGAACTCTGTGCGCCGCGGGCCCCGGCCTTCTCGAGGCTCTAGCGGGCCCGCCCCGGCGTGGCGGGGGCCCCGGAGCGGAGCGTTTCCCCCTCTCGGGCCGCGATGGTGCGGCCCGCTCCTCGGCGGCTGCCCCGCCCGCGGCAGCTTTGCGAAAGTCCCGGAGTTGGCGAGTTGGGCGCTAACTGGTGCGGGCTGAGCGAAGGTCCTTGTCCGCGCGCTGGGACCCGCGGGAGCCCCCGCAAAGCTCTGCCCGCAAGCTCTGCTCCGGACTCCCCCGAGAGCTTGCGAGCTCCACGGGGGTGTGCAAATAGTGCTGGAGCTCCGCGGGACGCTCGGGGCTGTGGCTTGCGCACCCCCCTCGGCTCCGCTCTGAGGACCAACTTTTGTCCCGGGGACTCGGTAGTCCCCGGCGGGAAATGGAACCGCTGTGCTCCACGCGCACGGGGCTGCGGCGGGGCCCTAGTTTCCTTCCTCTCAGAGTTCCTGGCGTTGGTTGTGAACGCCCTCTGTAAACTGTGGTGTGCTGCGCCCGCCTGCCACCCGTCTTGTCCCTGCAAAGCGGCGGGAGGGGACCGGAGCTTCCCTGCAGGAGCTTTTCTCACGTAAGCCCAGTCTCCTGGGAGCTGGAATGCCCTCCGGTCCAATGAATACTTCTAGGTGCTTAGCTCACGGAGCCCTCTCTCTAAAACTCTTTTGTCGGTTACTATCTCCTGTTCAGCTGCTCAGCAAGCCACTAGTGAATGTCTTCTGTGTGCCAGACTCTGTGCCAGGCACCGGGATGAAATGAAAACAGACTCGAGCAGTGATCTGGGAGCTGAAACATTAAATGCATAATTGCATTGGGCGACGGAGTGTGTCTATACCCGTGCTGAGGGCTCTGAGGAAGTCGAGCTGCCTGGGCTCTGTGAAGGGCTGCGGAGCTGACTCCGACGGCGACGGCTGTGGCTCCTCAGGGCTCTCCACTTAATTGCTTCCACTCTCATGGCGAGGGATGACGCGCCCTCTCGATTGCCTTCCTCTTTACCAGCCCCACCTGCGTGCTCCGGATTCTCTGCGTCTCCTGCCCAACCACTGACCCCCATGCCTAGCCCCCCAGCCTCGGACCACCCTCCTGACGCTCCAGGCTGAGCGATGGGGATTCAGTTTTGCTGAAATTATAGCTTGGATCTGGACATCTCCAAAACCTTAAAAACTCCCATCACCTAAGCTCCAGAGTTCACACTCCTTGCTTTATCTCCTCTGCCCTGCTCTGCCCTGTGGCTGGTTGTTTTCCTTTCTGTGCAGTTGTCCAGTTGTCCTTCCACCCTGAAAGCCCTCTCCTCTTCCACATCTATGTTGATGGAAATCTTTGTTCATCCTTCCACGTCTAGTTGAACTATCTCCTCCACGAACTCCTCCAAAACTTCTCCTCACAGGGCTGCTGTCTTTCTTTGAATTTGTCATAGTAACGCTGGCCTTTTATTGAAGGCTTACTCTGTGCCAGGCACCATGTTAAACCCCTGACACACATTACCTCTTTTAATGCTCACAGTTAGCTACCATGTGAAGTGTTTTTCTTATCCTGGTTTGCAAAGGAGACTCATTAGAGAAAGCCACTACGAGGGTTTTAACGAAGGGTAGACAGCATCACCTCTCTGCTCAGATCCCTCCAGTGGTTTCCCATCTCCTGGATTTCTATAAGGAACTACAAGATCCTGCAAGGCCATGTATAAATAGTCTTCACCTTTTCTTTCTTCATTGTGCCCCAGCTCATTTGCCTTCTTGCTGTCATCAGAGGTTCTTTCCTGCCTCTGCCTAGAAGGCTCACTCTTCTATCCCTAGATCTTAGCTCTATACCTTAAAAAATGTTTTTTTAAATTATTTTAGTGGTAAAATATACATAATATGAAACTTACAATTTAAACCATTCAGTGGCATTAGTATATTCCTGTTGTAGTGCATCATCATCACTATCCATCTCCAGAACTTTTTCGTCATCTCTAACTGAAACTGTACCCGTTAAACACTAACACTTCATTTCCTTTCCTCTCAACCCCTGGTAACAGGGGTCTTATGAGTTTAACTACATACTTCATATAAGTGGAATCGTACGATATTTGTCCTTTTGTGTTTGGCTTATTCCACTCATAATATTTTCGAGGTCCATCCATGTTGTGGCATGTATCAGAATTTCATCCTTTTTGAAGATTTAGTAATATTCCACTGTATGTAGATATCACACTTTGTCTATCCATTCATTCATGCATGGACATTTGGATTATTTCCACCTTTTGGCTATCGTTATTAATGCTGCTAAAAAGAGCCCTATGCTTTTTAGATGGGAAGATGGGGGAAGAGAGGACATACTCACCATTCATCAAATCTTGGTGTCAGGCAACGTCGATATCACAGTATTTATGTAATACTGCAGTCGATATCACAGTATTTATGTAATTGAATTTCCATCTGTCTCTGACAAAAGTGGAAGTTTCTAGAGGTGAAGATAATGTTGCAAAATTCTTTTATGTGCCTTCACAGCAGAAGCACAATGCTAGAAACAGAGTAGCTAGAGCGATCCTTTTATAAACATGAGGCTCCCTCTGCTCCTGGGAACTTGCCTGGGACTACCCTGTGTGTTAGAATAATCTATGAGAATGCTCACCACAGCTCATGAGGCCCTACATGACCTGACCCAATTTCTAGACTTTGTTCTCTCTCCTTCCCTTCTAGTTACACTGTCTTCTTGCTGTATGCTTCAAATGGACCAAGTTGATGACCTCAGAGCCTTTGCACATCGGCTGTGCCATCATTGTCTAGCAATCTCATCCTCTAAACCTCTCCCTCCCATCTCTCAGGAAGCAGACCAAATTTTCTGCCTTGGAGAAGGCCTCCCTGACCAGCTGATCTAAAATATCAAAGAGCACCCCATTTCCATTTGCTTTATTTTTCTTTCTTTTTCTTTTTTTAAATTTTTTTTTTTTAAAGATTTTATTTCTTTGTTTGACAGAGAGACACAGCGAGAGAGGGAACACAAGCAGGGGGAAAGGGAGAGGGAGAAGCAGGCGTCCCGCTGAGCAGGGAGCCCGATGCGGGGCTCGATCCCAGGACCCTGGGATCATGACCCGAGCCGAAGGCAGACCCTTAACGACTGAGCCACCCAGGCGCCCCTTGCTTTATTTTTCTTTAGAACAGGTATCCTTTACAGTATGTTCTGCCGCTGCTAGCACATACTTCTCTTTTTTTGGAAATCAGAAAACTGGTGTTCCTTCCAAGCAGAGGAATCTGCAAAAAAGCCCCCCCTCTCCCTGAGCCAAAGCAACAGGAGCTGAGCCAGGGCAGATGGATTTCAGCTCATACTGCTGCTCAGACCACACAAAGCTAAGCTATAGCCCCTCCCAGGCCTGGAACACAATAGGTACTCAATAATTACAGGAGGAATAACGTGTAGCAGCTGAAGTCATGTACTGGAAAATCTTCAGTGTCTCTCTCCTCCCCACCCCTTCTTCCAGCTCCCTAGAGGATCTGTACAAAATTGGATTTGAGCTTTTTCTTGTGTCTTACCCAGTGACTTGTTGATCAAAGCTGCACACACCAGCTCGGTCAGCCTCCAGGGGAAACTCTAACCCATGAACCCAGCTTTAATCCCAGGGCTCTTTGATCACCTTCTATAGTGTGGGGATGCTGGGGGGAGCTCCTAGGGTTTTATCCCACTCACTGAGACCATACCATTTGAGACATGTAGGCAGCCTATTAGTTCTGGCTGTTTTTCTGGGAAAACTGATCTGGTCACTGACTGAAATTGAACAAGATATGTTACTTTCGGACTGACCTGTCCTAAGCCTATTGTGGGCATTACATGAGATGATAGGCGTAAAGGGCTTACTGCAGACACCCATGTGATGGAACTAGTAACTTTGGCTGAAATAAAAGTCCAGCACCGCTAGGAACACTGAGGAGGGATGAACAGGATTTCAGCTGCATGGCAGGAATCTTCACTAGTGGCCTGGGCCTCTCCAATCTCATCTCCTATCACCCTCTTGTCACTCCAAACCAGCCACCCCCACCTTCTTCCTGGGTTCTGAGTCCACTCTGCCCAAATCCAGCCCCAGGGCCTTTAAATTGGCCCTCATCTCTGCCAGGAACGCTGGTTCCCCATTCTTCCTCCACTATTCCTCCCTCTCATCCTTCAGATCTTAGCTTAAATGTCACCTCCTCACAGGGACCCTCCCTGACCGCCCACCTGAAATGTTGTTGCCTACTTTACATCTTGCTCTGTTTTCTTCCTAGTGCACATCCCTCTTGGCCGTGATCTTATTTATTTGCTTGTTTACTTGTTTGTTATTGAGCTCCTCCAGATCACACGTCAGCTGCATGGAGCAGAGGCTTTGGCTTCTCCTTTCCTGCTATATCCCCAAATCCTGCCCCATACGTGCCTGACACCAAGATTTGATGAATGGTGAGTATCTCCTCTCTTCCCCCATCTTCCCATCTTTGCTTCCTTTTCTTCTTTCTTTCTTTCTTCTTCTTTTTTCCCAATGAGCTGCTTATTCTCTTGCTTACTTTTCAGTGTTCCATCCTGTCATCAGTAACAGGCAGATCTTTTGGGATCCCCTAAGATCTACTTCAGCAAGAAGGGTCAACCAGAAGAGAAGTGATAGGGGCAGGCCCTTGTCCTTCCTGATGAAGATATGAAAATCTTTTTAACTAGATGTCTTCACCTTGGCTTTCTCAGGGTCCTTTGTTGCTGACCCCATTTGTCCAGGGCTGTCCCCTCAGGCTGGTCTGGCTGAGGCCTGAGCTGAGGGGGTGTGAAAATGGAACAGAGTGGCAAG